ATAGGAAGACTTGCAGCTCAAAATCATCTGTGAAGCCTGTCAATATAAACATGGTGACTTCTGTTACATTCTTCAACTTAATACTGTATATATTCACTTCTGATGAGAATCCTTCCATTTCAGTTTCACGGATAGTTTATAAAAGCAATGTCCTTGGAAAATAGAGGCCTTACAACTATATTCTCGTATTTGTTTCTTCAAAGTGCAACATCATTTCCTGGGTAGTAATGGGATAGGCAGTGATGAAGAAGTTGGACACACGTGNCCAACAGAATGAAACCATAGGAGACCAGGACAATCAGGATAGTGACTATCTCAATGGAGCCAACAAAGTAGAAGAGTAGCAGCTGGTTTGTGTGAGTGTCAGAACAAGAAATAGCGAGGAGAGGAGGGATATCACAGAAGATGTGACTAATTTCATTGGATCCACAGAAGGACAGGCTGAATGTGGCCACTGTATGTATAGTAGCATGTAAAATGCCACCGACATAGGAAGCAACCATGAGAGGCACGCAGACTCTGGGTGACATGCTCACTGAATACAGAAGTGGGTTGTAGACAGCTACATAGCGATCATAGGCCATTGCAGCCAAGAGAAAGCATTCTGTGGTTCCAAAAGTTACTAAGAAAAGCATCTGTGCTGCACATCCAGATAATGAAATGGATTTATTATCTGACAAGAAATTAACCAACATTTTTGGAGTGGTAACTGTACAATAGCAGGCATCCAAGACTGACAAAACACTCAGAAAATAGTACATGGGATTGTGGAGCTTGGAATCCTTAATGACCAATACAACCAGTCCTAAATTTCCCACCAGAGTAAAAAGATAGATTGCAAGAAATAGAAAAAATAGAAAGACTTGCAACTTAAAATCACCTGTGAAGCCTGTCAATATAAACATGGTGACTTCCGTTACATTCTTCAACTTAATACTGTATATATTCACTTCTGATGAGAATCCTTCCATTTCAGTTTCATGGATAGTTTATAAAAGCAATGTCCTTGGAAAATAGAGGCCATGCAACTATATTCTCGTGCTTGTTTCTTCAAAGTGCAACCTCATTTCCTGGGTAGTAATGGGATAGGCAGTGATGAAGAAGTTGGACACATGTGTATACATTTTGCTGTATAAGCAAAAGGAACAAATGATTTCATTCATTTTTGGCTAAATATGTAATGTTTATACAATATTCTACCAAAATCATATATGTTCCCATTTATTTTCTGTTACATTTTCTACCACCTGTTCTAATGTTACATTATCTAAAATTCACGAGGATAAATATATAAATATAGAAATATTTAAATACAAAAAGGTTATAGTGGAAAGTGCACACCTGAAGAGTATTCCTAAATTTACTACATTATGCATGAAATACATTTCTTTAATGTTCACAATCACTGAAATGAGGGCAAACACACTTACATCTCGAGATTGGGTTGAATAAAAATGAGAAAAAA